GCTAATATGTCTGGTAATTGATAATCAGAATTTACAATGTATCACGAGTTAATACTACGATTACAAATGGCTGCTATCTATCTATATATATATATATATATATATATATATATGAGAGGGCTTTTGGCCTATTGATATTCCCACCAGCATACACTCATGGTCAACCTCCCCGACCACTTGGCTCAAATGGGGAGATGTCTTAAAATGTCTTAAAACCTATTGCTTAAGTCATTCTCGTGTGCTACAAGTTGACTCGATTGAGCTGATCGTGATATCATCTTTCTCCTGCAGTATGGGAGTTATCAACGCCGATTAGTTGTGGATGATTTGAACACAAAATGGAGGCGACTCGTAACGAACACCTCGGTTTGTCTTTGTTTCTTTTACCCTTGGTGACCATTTGAAATCTTCAATGTGGTGGGCTAAATGTTTTCTTTTTCTTTGGTGGATAATTTATACAGCCTGAAACACCTTTGGAACCCTGTGCTTGGTTGAATAAGCTGTTGATGGAAGTATGGCCAAATTTTTTCAATCCAAAACTTTCCACGAAGCTTTCTTCCACAGTAAATGTGAGTGACCAACTCGTTCTCACCATTCAGAACTTTAATGCTATTAGTTAAACGCAAATCTGATATCATTTAACTTAGTTAAAAATTTCTCTATTCAGAAACGATTGAGGGACCGAAACTCGAGGCTTATTGTGAGTAGACCTACTTTTTGGCCATTCCATCTTGTAGATATTGTTGACAAGAACATGAATGTGCACAAATATTCATATGTATAACCACATTGCTCAATTTCGTGTAGGAAAAAATTGAACTGCTGGATTTTTCTCTTGGCTCATGCCCTCCTAGTTTGGGTCTTAGTGGGGCTCGATGGTCAACTTGTGGTGATGAGGTTGGACTCCTCTTCTTCTTCTTCTTCTTCTTCTTCTTCATTGCTACTACATATGTTTATGTTGTTATGACTTCTTTTTATTCGTTGCTACTACATATGTTGAATGTTTACGGTTTGGTTGGTCTAGTGGTCAATAAGGATCATGAGAATAGTTAAGAGTTTAGTGGGAATAAGTTCAATCCATCGTGGCCACTTGCCTAGGATTTAATATCCTACAAGTTTCCTCTAGAAATCAAATTAGGACTTGATCTGAACGAAGTTTTTCATTGCGTTTTGACAGAGAATCATGCATTTGAGTTTCGATTGGGACACAAATGAAATGAGTATTTTGTTGCAAGCAAAACTGGCCAAGCCACTGATGGGAACTGCCCGGATTGTCATAAACAGCCTCCATATAAAGGGTGATGTACGTATAATTTCTTTCCCTCTTCCCTCAGCATGAGTAGCACAAGGTTCATTCATGAAATATCATAGATTCACCAAGAGAGTGATCATATTCATTTGGACGTTTTTACTGAAAAGTTGGCAGTGCATAAAATTTCATTTGCTGTTGTTTGGATTACCTTTACAGCTTGTGTTGATGCCTATTTTGGATGGGAGGGCAGTTTTATTTTCATTTGTGACAACTCCTGATGTTAGAATAGGAGTTGCTTTTGGAAGTGGTGGAAGCCAATCATTACCTGCAACAGAGCTCCCTGGTGTTTCCTCCTGGCTGGTATATTTCTACATCAATCTGCAAATTTGTTTCTATCTTTTTCTAAGCACTACCAAGTTTTATTATACTGTGGAATAAGTGCAACCAACACTGGTTGCATAGCCCGTTCGAGTAGCTCAACGAACCGTTCTCTCTAATGCAGGTCAAAATTTTTACAGATACCCTGGTTAGGACAATGGTTGAACCACGCAGGCGTTGTTTCTCATTGCCATCTGTTGATCTGAGGAAAAAAGCTGTTGGTGGTATTATATATGCAACAGTCGTTTCTGCCAGAAAACTTTATAGAAGTAGTTTGAAGGGAAGCCCAACCAGAAGGCAACAAAGTTACTCTGCTAATGGTTCATTCGTAGAGCAGTTTACTGATAAAGATATGCAGACATTTGTTGAGGTCGAACTTGAAAAGCTTAGTAGAAAAACAGAAGCAAGATCAGGTTCAGACCCTCAGTGGAATACGACATTCAATATGATTTTACATGAAGATACAGGAACTCTACGGTTTCATCTTTATGAGTATCGTCCAAGTCATGTGAAGCATGATTATCTAGCAAGTTGTGAGGTTAAGGTATAAATTAATCAATAACCATACAATTTCCTTTCAAGTTCATGCATGCCATTTCTGAAAATCAAGCTAGTAAAAACATTTGTATATTACAAAGCGCTTTAACTAGACTTCGAATGGATGCGGAGTGTGGGTTTTCAGTAAAATTCTAGGCATTAGCTGATTTAAAGTTTGTTCTATGTGCACAGATGAAATATGCTGCAGATGATTCCACTACATTTTGGGCAATAGGACCAGATTCCAGTGTAATAGCCAAGCATGCTGACTTTTGTGGAAAAGAAGTTGAAATGGTCATTCCATTTGAAGGAGCCCATTCTGGGGAGGTAAAATCCTAGCCACTCTCTCTATGTATGCTTGTGTGTTAAAATCAATAGGACCCGTTACCAAGCATGGATAGTGTGAGATCCCACATTGGTTGGGGAAGAGAACACGTAATAAAGGTGTGGAAACCTCTCCCTAAAAGACGCGTTTTAAAAACCTTGAGGGAAGCCCAAAAGGAAAAGCCCAAAAAGCCCAAATAGTGATGTAAAATTTAAATGATCGAGCTTCAATGCTTACATTTTTCAAAGGAAGTATCAGTCAGCGATTCTTCAAAAAAGTTAATGAAAGAAAGTACTTAACTTATAAGGGTTCTTTCAATAGTCATTCTAAACTCACTCGAACAAAATCACATGGGAGAATCAGTTCCTATGTGTTTTGTGATGATTTTTACTACTCTACCTGTGTTGGCTAAGTAGCGATCAGTAGCAGCTGATTCTCTCATGCTGACACACTATTGTAATGCATGGTGTTGCAGCTGACAGTAAGACTTGTTTTAAAGGAATGGATGTTCTCAGATGGTTCACATAGTTCTAACAGGTATCATGTTAGTCCACAACAATCTCTCAATGGGGCGTCGAGTTTTCTTTCTAGCACTGGAAGAAAAATTAACATCACAGTTGTGGAAGGGAAGGATCTACCCACAAAAGACAAGAATGGAAAGTGTGATCCGTATGTCAAATTGCAGTATGGAAAGGTAGTTTCCTTTCCTTCTAATTTACCAAATGTTTTCATAGTTATATCCAATATTAATACTAATTATGCGTCCTTTCGACTATTCGTCTCATAATTTCAGGCTCTCCAGCGCACAAGAACTGCTCACTCCTTCAATCCAATATGGAATCAGAGGTTTGAATTTGATGAGATAGCTGGTGGTGAACATCTTAAGTTAAAATGCTTTACAGAAGACATTTTCGGGAATGATAACACTGGTAGCGCGAGGGTAAATCTAGAAGGATTAGCAGAAGGGTCAGTTAGAGATGTATGGATTCCTCTTGAAAAGGTGAATTCTGGAGAATTAAGGCTTCAAATAGAAGCCATCAGAATGGATGACAATGAAGGATCTAAGGTATGAGACAGAACTTTGTCTTTCATGATTAAGCAAGAAAGTTTAGCAAGCTCACGTCTGAATCATATGATCCTTCATTTCCTCAGGGCTCAAGCTTGGGTCCAACAAATGGTTGGATAGAGCTTGTTCTAATTGAAGCAAAAGACCTTGTTGCTGCGGATATCAGAGGGACAAGTGATCCTTATGTGAGAGTCCAATATGGAAAGTTGAAGAAAAGAACCAAGGTATCTTTCAAGTTCCTGTTCATGATCATGTCAGATTCTTCACAACCATAAGATTCTTTAGGAGAACCGCTTCAAATTCGTTTCTTTTAGAATAATTTATTGTGAAATTGATCATCATTTCCTCGCAGGTTATGTACAAAACCCTGAGTCCCAAGTGGAATCAGATTTTGGAGTTTCCTGACAATGGCAGCCCATTGTTGTTACATGTCAAAGACCACAATGCTCTGCTCCCCACATCAAGCATCGGTGATTGTGTTGTGGAATATCAAGGGCTACCCCCAAACCAGATGTTTGACAAATGGATACCACTTCAGGGTGTCAAAAAGGGAGAGATACATATCCAAATCACCAAGAGAGTTCCAGAACTAGAGAAGAGAACTAGTCTGGATTCTGAAATTCCCTTCAGGAAAGCACATCAGATTTCCAGTCAGGTCAGTTGTACCAAAGAAAATTTTTGATAGATTTAAAATTTATACTTCAGTCCAATTTGTTGAGATGATATTATGCATCTTTGGTGGAATTTGGTTGAATAACTTCAAATATCTTCTTCTGCTTTGGAAAACTTGCACAGATGAAACAGATGATGAATAAGTTACAAAGTTTCATTGAAGACAGCAATCTTGAAGAACTTTCAACAACTGTGAGTGAGCTGGAAAGTCTAGAGGATCTGCAAGAAGAGTATATGGTACAGCTTGAAACAGAACAAATGCTTTTAATAAACAAGATTAAGGAACTTGGTCAGGAGTTTCTCAACTCATCCCCTTCCTTAAGCAGAAGATCATCTGGATACTAATCAGATCCATCAGGTTCTCAACTTTTGCCCCAGTTAGCAGTACAAATCATGACTTGACATGCATTTTTGAGATTCTGATGCAAGTGTACACGTTCTTTAGAAGAGTCCATCAATGCATATGGACACTTCATGTTCATTTTCGTATAGGAATTCTTATTTGTTCTGAACAATTGGGAAGAAAATGCCTCATTTGTTAAGCTAACGGCAAAAAGATTGTAGATGTTGGGACCTCTGATTTCTCGTGTACAATCATGATGAATGATGAAAAAAAAAATGGTGCCCAAAGTGTTCAGATAAAACACATTTTAACAATATAGTTTTCAGCATTACAAATTCTTCTCAAATCAAAGCAAACTGCATTTTAGTTTGAGTTATAAAGTCATGTCTGCTCTATTAACTAAATCTACTTTCATGTACCAATTTACTTTACCAAAATGGTTATTCACCAAAATATGTAAGATAAATAACGGCGAATTCAACAGCAAACAAATACTCTTACGGATAGGCAGCAAGCCAAAATTTATAACTGTAATATATCAATCTGAATGTCAATACTTAAAAGTTAGACAATAGTAAAAAACTTGCCTTAGAAGCCTAAATGCCATTTTGAGGATGTCCAATGATGCAAGAGTTGAGGGGAAAGGAAGAGGGATAAATCAAGATGAGACTGCCTCCCTTCCAGATCACTGTTTATTGGCGAAGCATCTTCTGTAGCTGATGCACTTGACTCCTTTGCTCTGGAGGCAGGAGATTAATTTGTTCTGGTGTGAGACTCATGACTTGTTGAAGTAGCATCTTCTCCATCTCCTGACTCAACTGAACCACAAACAGAGAGGGGGGCAAAGAATCAATCACAAAAGATGAAAATAAAATATTGACAAATTGTCATTCCAAGCAGTAGTCATTAGAAAAGTACCGGTGGTGCAGGACGAGGCTGATTGCCGGGGCCCATCTGGCCAGTGCCTGATGGTATTACTGGTGGTCCTGAGAGTTGCTGTGGAAGTGTAGGATTATCTGGAGGGCCATGCATCCAAGGCCCTCTGTCCACAGGCTTTGAAGTTCCAACTTGATTCATGACTTCTGTACCTACTTTAGAACCTCCAGCCTGATACAAATGAGCACCAAGCGCAATATTAAGCATTGAGGAGCTAATACTGTGGTTATTTGATAAATTGTTCGTGAAGGCTTTAATAACTAGGTGTACAAGCACTATCTTTTATGATGAGTTTATCACTAAGAATTATAGTTCGCAAGTACAATAGTCAATGACGGACAAACCAGCACCTATATTGAACAGCATAGTCAAGGACTCGAGATATGCATGCATCATGGAACATGATTTAAAACTAAGCTGAAACTGCACTTCAAGAGTGTACTAGGTCAAGAAGTCAACGAATCCACCTCACAGCCAATTGAAAGAAAGAAGCCCCTGCTCCTCTCAGGACTCACCAACCTAAGAACTCAATTGATCTAGTATATTCAGGATAAACACATCATAATCCAGTATGTAAAGAAAAAAGTACCTGATACAATGACTGAGGGGGTCGTTGATTAGGAAGTGGCGACCGTCCTGGGGAAATGAATTTCCTATACCAGGAGGGAATTTGGAACCTGACTAGAACATTAAAAAATAGACTAAAGAGGTTGAGAGATCATTTTCATCTGGAGATTTGTTTGTTGTAAATCCAAAGGAGAATTGTGACTTAAAAAATAAAACTCCGACTTACATGAAACATGGGTTGAGCAGGTTGGTAATTCATATTGTGCCCCGTTTGAGGGGGGTAGTGCTGACGAAAAGTTGGACCCGTAGGATCTCTGGAATGTGGGGGCAATGGGGCCTGTAGAGGCAGATGGGGAATTTCAGCTGTTTGTAATGGCTGCTGCAGCTGCATGGAAGCACTTGACATCGGGGGTTGATGAAGTAAAGGTGGCTGAGCAGCAGATGGAGGTACCGGAGGTACACTCGGAATTTGAGATGGCTGTGAGACGGAAATGGAATTCGCTTGGGGCATCTCAAACCCCTTGGGATGCTGCAGTGTTTGCAGGGGAATCAGAGGTGCTGACTGAGGCTGGATGTTCCCTGTAGGAAGAGTAGTTGATGAGATGAGCATTGATGGTTAGTTCTGATATTGTTTTATAGGAGGGGCCAATGGTGGTGCACCTGTCTGTTCTTGCAAACTTATTTGACTTGCTGATGTTTGAGTTGGCTGAGTATTTGACTGTTGAGTTGTTTGTGTTGATGGCTGAGGATGCTGTGGGGCTGAAGGCTTGACGCTTGGAATCTAAACAGAAGAATAAGTTAGATATACACTTCTAAGCTGACAGAAAAATGCAGGACAAAGAAAAAAAGAGGAATAACAATGGCATACTACCTGAGGAGGCCGCACCATCCCAAGCATAATCTGCGCCTGGTAGATATAACAGTGGAATCAATAATATCTTCAGTAACCAAATGAGAAATTAAAGGTAAGGCCTCTAAATGTGCAGATTAACTAGTAAAAGGGTACACACTAATAACCATTACTCAAAGTACCCTAGAGCATAAATTAGTGTTATAAATAATACTTGTAGTCACATCTAGTTCCTACAGATTATCCTGAACAATCGAAAGCCAAATATAATTTAATGTTCAAACTTGTTGCTTGTAGTAGGCCACACAAACATTTAGCAGTCACTGCTGTCTCCGAGGTAAGACGAAATATCTCATGCTTCAGACTACTTTTCTCGTCTTTAAGATACACGTCCTTGCAAATGCAATTGGGAAAAATTGAGATATACTTTGAAACTTGATTGGTTTCACCCGAATTGGATAAATCCATTCATTCAAGAAAATGGTACAACAATTTTAAGTCCATAAATATCAAAATTAAGCCTCGTAAAAGATTGTGCAAATGTGCGTACAAACGTACATTACTTAAACACATTCAATTTCCAGGCGGTACTTGCAGTTATTCAAAACTATTTCACTTGAGACTCTAATTGTTCAAACTCTGCCAGGACAAGATTAACAGCGCAAGCTCCAAGTAGTGAATAAAAAGAATTTTGTTCAAGATGCGAAAAAACTTAAAAACTGGAACCTGAAAAAGAGCTTTGGTCAAGGCGGGGTTTTGGATTAGGATTTGCTTTGCCTGCTGTTGATTCTGTTCGATCAGAGTCTGCATAACAATAAACACACTAATCATTCCTCAATATCCAGACATTGCATGGACACAAAGCCCGAATCGAGTAATGGGACGAAAAAGGGGACGGACAAATGTTAATTCCGATAGCGCGACAATTTGAAAGTACCTTCATTTGAGACATTATTGTTGGATGATGAAGGTCCCACATCCGCTCATTTAGGGAATGATCATGGGTTTACAAGTGAGGAATATTAACTCCATTGGTATGCCATTTATGCTCAAAGTGGACAATATCATACCATTGTGTAGAGTCGTGTTCGTCTAACAATATCATGTAGTTGGTTCTTCGACATTCCTGCGATGCTCTCCGGTAGACCAGTGCTGGCAACTTGCTTTCCGGCCATGTTCGACGTCCCAACGCCAACTGAGACGAAAGATTGTTCCTTCACAATTTCCCGCGAAGAACGTAGCCAGATTTTGTTCGTATTTATCCGAAGGGATGATTCTCTGAAGGCCCAGCGTAGCGTTTGCTTCGGCCCAATTTTATTGGGCTTTGAAAGGAACTGAAATGGGCCCAGTGACTGAAAGTCCGTTGAACCCGACCCGTTAGTTACCGCTCAGCAATGAAAAATGGCGCGTTGTGCTCCGACGGAGATGCGCGAAGACGATTCTGAGACTGAGTAGGCACAGAGAAGAGGGAGGGGAAAAACTATGGGGAGGAAGAAGACAGTGGAGTTCGATGAATCACCGCCGGACGATTTCGATGCGGAGCATCCGTACAAGGATCCAGTGGCGATGCTGGAGATGAGGGAACATATTGTGAGAGAGAAATGGATCGATATTGAAAAGGCGAAGATACTGAGGGAAAAACTAAGATGGTGCTACCGCATCGAAGGAGTCAACCATCTTCAGAAATGCCGCCACCTTGTTCAGCAATACCTTGATTCCACTCGCGGCATCGGTTGGGGCAAGGATGGACGCCACCCATCTCTTCACGGTTCTCTCTTTTAGTCACGCATTCTATTTAATTTCCAAGAAGTTTGGATGTTTTTTGGACTTATATTTGCCGTTTGGGTAGAAAGTGGAGATATTTCGAGTAATTGAAAGTGGGTTATGATTCGGTCTGGTACTAACCGTGGAACTTCGCTCTGATTTTGAAGTGTTGTTTTCTATAATATTTCTTGGTGGATACATATATATTTTTTTTTAAAAAAATTAATGTGATTCATGCCTATCTTTTGAAGTCGGGGTAATCGCAGGCGGCATTATTCTCCTTTCTTTTTTCTCCATCATGTTCCGTATGCAACTTAACTGACTTGAGTGAATGAAGTATAAATCATCTGATGTTGTCACTTCTTGCTCTGATTAGGTCCTAAAGTGGAGGCGGTCGAAGCTGAGTAAATTTCTGGGAGGAATAACGGTGAGTTTAAATGTTCCTAAGTTGTTAGGTTATTACTTGGTCGTACTGATTATGAAACCTTATTTGTTTCAGAGATTGAATAAAAGAACGATGAATATTAGCCCTTTATTTTATTTCGTGTACTGCTGCGAGGGGTGTAAAGAATTTTGAACTCAGATCAATGGTCAATAATTCCTTTTAATTTCCATTTCTATGTTGTGTGAGAACTTTGTAGCAATGCACAGTAAGGTTTCCTAACATTTTTCTCGCTAGTGGTTTGATTTTGAGAATGATTGAATTATTTTTTTCACAAGGCACTCAATCATAGTTCTTTCAAGCGTATGTATAAGACCTGACATTAACAGTGTGGTGGGTGGGGGTGGGTGTCCTTGAAGCTGTATATGCCTTTGTTGATGTTGTCTCATAATTTCTTGTCCTTAGAAGTAGTGTGAGTTGGGAATACTGTCATTCTATGGGATTCTCGCAATTTGTTGTCCTTAGTGGTGTGAGGTGATTTGATTCGCCTTTTCAATCATACCATTTGATTTGAGTAGATCACTTGTGCTCGAGGTCCAACGATGCATAGGGATAGAGATGCTCTTTGAAGTAGCTGGGTTGGCATTCTTGGGTGATGCTGGCATTGTTGGTGTGTTGTTGCAGGCTTTAGTGATATTATATTCCACATGAAGAAGTTGAATGTGAATAGGATTACTTCGAGTAGTGCTTTTAATAGGTTCATTTGAATTCTTGATTAGTTGGAACCTTTCTTGTGAGCAATAATTTCTCTTGTTCCAATCCTCTTGCTTTGATGATATACCGTAGTCTTTGACAAATTCGTTTTTGTTCAAAGGTTGGTTGGATATTTTCAAGGTCATCTAACATTATTTTTTGTTGAAATATTGTGGACCATTGGCCTATTCTTCTCAATATCAGGGTTGCCGAGAGGGGTCTTTGGCCATTTAGTTTTGAGGACATTTGAAAAAAATGGTGTGAGACTTGTTGAGGGAGGGAGGGGTGAAACTGGAGGTTGTATCCAAGTTGAGCGAGTAGGGTGGTTTGGAAGTTGATAATCTAGCAAATAAGAACTTTGCTCTTTTTGCTAAGCTGTTATGGCATTACCCTTTAGAGTCTGATGCAGATATAGGCGTCACTCGTCCTTAGTCGAAGGCATTATAAGATCAAAGCAGAGCTTTTGGATATTTCCTCCAACGAAGAAGCATCTTGGAAACAAGAATGCAAATTGAGATGGACACTAGAGGGGGACAAAGACAACAACTTATTCCCTAGATTCATTCATGTCCACAAGAAGGAGACAGAACACCATTGTTGTGATTTTATCCAGAGATGGCATTAGTTTGGTCTTGAACACTGATATGGAGGTCGAATTCATTGATTTTTACATGACGTTATACAGCAAAGGTCAAGTTAGTAGACTTCCTCCAATCATTGAAATTGGGCTCCAATATCAGCATCTCAATCCTTCGACATTGAAGCCTCTTTAACAGAAGAGGAGATTGGGAATGCAATGAAGGACCTAAGATCCAAATCATCTGGACCAGATGGTTATACCACTGAATTCTTTAAAAAGCATTGGAACATTCTTAAGGATGGCATTAAGGGAGTCTTCCAAAACTTCATTCAGAATGCCATCATCAATGCAAGCCTTTACAAAATTTATATTTGCCTCATCCCCATGAAGAGTGATGTTGAATCTGTGGGAGATTATATGCCCATCAGCCTTACCTCATGCCTGTATAAGATCGTGGGCAGGTCCTTCAGAGCGTCTTAAGAAGTTCCTTCCCTTCACTCTTTTAGTTTCAACTTGCATTCATGGTTGACCAGCAGATTAGTGATGCATCCTTAATTGCAAATAATCCCATAGAGGAATATGTTTTGTCCTTGAGGGGGTTGTAATCAAATTGGATACAGAAAAAGCCTTTGTATGGTTGGTTGAGAATTTTTTTAACAATATTCTGGCCGGCTAAAGGTTCTGGAACGAAGTTGCAAAAGTGATTTTAGGGCTGTATTTCTCGGCTAATTACTCCATCATCATTAATGACAAGTCTAGTGGTCAAATCATCGCTGTTCAACAAGGTGATCCCCTACCCCATTTCTTTTTATCCTTGTGATAGATTGTTTAAGTCGTATATTTCTCAAGAGGCACGTAAAGGTAATATCAGAGGCTTTGCGGTGGGAGGGTGTAGTCTGAGCACCTACAATTTGCAAACGACACCATTCTAGACAAAGGAAATGCTCTCACTAGTTTCCATACCATACACACTTTGAAGAAGCATCAAGTTATGTATCAACCGCCAAAAATCAGCATTCTTAGGCATTCATCTGGCCTTGGATACCATTGCATCCCTTGCCCATGATTTCGGTTGTAAAGTGGCTTCATGGCCATCGGTCTTCTTGGGCCTCCCCCTGAATGGTAAGCCTCACACCAATTCTTGTACAGTGCCCTAGGGGGCTTAGGGTTATTTGTTATGAAGATCAAGAACTAGCCTCCTGCCAAAATGGCCCTGGAGATTTACTCGCCACACAAGCGGATATCAGATGTGCTAATCCTGAAAAATTTGCCCTTTGGAGGAGATTCATAGTCTCTAAATATGGCTTGACCCACTTTCATATGCATCTGGTGTACAAAAAGCTCAAATATCACCGATGTCCTTGGAAGTTTATTATGGATAATTACTTTTGATTTATGACTATATTGTGAATATTTTTGGCAATGGGAAATCCACCTCATTTTGGAATGACAACTGGGTTGGTACAACTCCTCTAAATTTGGCTTTTATGCCCTTCCCCGTCGTAAGCGTGGTTTGATTGCTGAAATATGGAACTCTGATGACTCTTCATGGGATTTAAGTTAATGCCGTAGTTCAACGGATAAAATTTTGGAATGGGCTGATCTTTCCTCCATTCTTCTTCCCCTTCCAAGATCAACTATAGATGATTATTGGAAATGGACTTGGGATGTTAAAGGAGCCTTCTCCACCAACTCCCACACAAGCACCCAACAAGCATATGTTGAGGGGGGGTCCAATTCTTAAATTTCCTTTAGGAATTAAGCCATGAATGCATAATACAGCGGATGCATTGCTCAAAAAGGCTCGCTAAAAAAGGCTCCTTGAATAGTCTCCTCTCCTAGTTGGTGTGTCCTTTGTCGAAATAGGTATCAATCTATGCTGCATTTATCAACTACCTGTCAATGTGCACGGCTTTCCATCTACATCTCACCCTTCCGGGCAATATGATCATTATGCTTGAATCTTTGATCTTAGGTCATCGTTTCACTAAAGGAAAGCTGCCATGTGGGTTTATATCATCGAACCTTTTCTTTGGTCCATTTGGCTTGAGTGGTACCATCGCATCTTTGTAGTCAAGGCACAAGGACTTCAATTCTTTCTTCGACCCTTTGATTTATTCTGCCTTCTCTTGGTGTCAATTTTCTCTATACCTTGTGATTATAGTATTACATCCCTCATTCTTTCTTCGACCCTTTGCCTTTTTTGTACCTTTCATACTATCAATGAAATGAAGTCATCCGTTTCTCATTCAATTTTTTTTGTTAATAATTAAACCAAGTGTGTTGAGACAAATCAAAGTACAAAAGAGGGCTACAGCCCAAGACTCTCAAGACTTGTATGGTTTCTTTATTTCTTTCATACCAAATATTTCATAGAATAGTGACGTAGCCGGCCCTGCCATAACAAATGGCTTGTATCTTAAGAAAGAGAATCTAGATAACTTCTTCATTGTACTTGGATTGATAACAACAATGCCACGCCTTAGTAGAACAATGCCAAAGCCGTACAAGATGGTTTGCAAAGAACACCTTTATGTACAAAGTCTTGCAGAAGAAAATGCCAGAGGGCTCAATACTGACCCCTCGAATTACATATAGGAGGCCAACTGAATGCTAACTTCTACTTCCTAGTCAAGTTGATGCCTTTGGTGGTTCTTGCTTGTCATTAAACCTATGCTGCATTTATTCACTACTCGTACATGCTAGTCAACTAATGCTAATTTTTGTTTCTCAGTCAAAAACCTTTTTTTTTTATAGATTTGTTCAAAGCTCAAACTTTTCGTCAAGGATCTTTATATTCCAAATTGTAACTTTTTTTTTTTTTCAATCTTCTACGAAGTTATCCAAAAACCTGATAAGAATGTATCATATTCTAAAGCTTCAGCCATTCAATAGCATAATTTCTGGTTTAGACGATCAAATTTATTGATTAGACGCATAACCTGTTGGTTTCTGGGTTTATTGGCGATCATATTTCTAAAAGATAGACATTGTTTATCTTAGTGTTCATGCTTTCAAGGGATTACATTCCTGCAGATAAGATAGAATAATGTGGGTGTGTGCTTTTTTTGTTTGCCTTTTCTGATTCGCATTCTATCCAAAAAAAGGAAAAGGGGAAAAAGGAAGGAAAAACAGGAATAATTCGTGTAATATCTATCTGCTACAGAACAGAACTGGTTGCTGAGCTAGAAAGATTCAGAAACTTTGGAACTTCGATGCCATTTTGTGATTTAGAAATTGAACAAACTGACAAAGTAGTGAGAATATTATCTCATTTGGAAAGCCTTTGTACTCTTCGAACGAAAGTGAATTCCAATTTCCAATAGCTGAGTTTTTTATTCACCAGCACTTTTGCTGCGGAATGACAGCAAATTAATATCAAATGTATTGACTGACCCCATTCTTAGAAAGTAAATTTTATCCACCTACATATTCGGAAGGTAGGTCTGCTAATCTTTTCAGGTTGAATTGCGAGTTTTCTCAATGTTTGAGCCATTTTCATGAATTGTGTTCGAGAAGCCTGCAACTTTCTGTAATTGAATTGGAGCTTATATTAACTATGATTTGCTAATTCTATAAAGTAGATGTATTTACTTTGCTGGTTAAAATATTAGTTTAGTCCTTTTACTTCGAGATGTGTCCTATTTAGTTACCGTACCTTAAAATTTTGAAGTTTGTTCTCATACTTTCAATAAATCTTAAAACCCTTAACAACAATAAGGAGCCCTTTTAAGATTTATGGAAATCATATGGACTAAATTTAGATATCTTTCTATTGTGGGGAAACTTCCCAATATCCTCCCGATATTATGACCAGTAGATGAGGAGTAGACGAATTGGACTTTGGGTTTTGTGGGACACTCCATATTCATTAATTTAGACAATTCAAAGACAGCAACCTTAAAATCTTCAAAAATTGATGAATCATTCATAAAATTTTCTTGGAGATTAGTAATGAATAGACCTCTCATTTTATGATGTGTACTGTTCTGGTTTCCTTAGGATTCTTCTTTTCTCCTTCTCTTTCCTCCCAACTTCCCCCAATAGCCCTTTATGACAGCATCTTATATGGTCGGGTAAAAAAGGTTGTTAGAGTGTATGCTATCACTCTTAGCAATGGTGCTTTCTAAAAGGAATATCTATGTTTACCAAGCATTTTAAAGTTCAAATGAAATCTATTGCAATCAATTTTCTTAACCAAGGCTGATGGGACTCTTACCCTAGTTCTATATTGATCAAGATTTGAAATCAAAATCTTCTCTATGTGTTGAATCTTAGGTAGCAATTCGAAGTGGGCATGATAGCGGAAGGTACAAGGCATGCTAGAAAAATAGTTGTTGTTTTTTAGCTCAGCTATAAGAATGAGGAGAAGAAGAACTAATAGTAAGTGAAGAAATTCGTTGCGTTTCAATAATAGGTGCTAAGGAAGCATGGTCAAATCTCTGTTTTGTTATATGTTTCAGGTGAGAAACGGGGGACAACTATCGGGTAAGAGAAAGGGTTTGATGTAGTATGTGAGTAGGGAAGATAGAGAGAGAAGTTTGGATGGACGAACGATGAAGAGGAGAGCGGGCAGAGTTTGAAAATTGGTAGCTTCGATCTTCTTCTGCTCTTGAAGCCGCCTCCCCATTTGTGGGCCCACTTTTTTCCTTTTCTTTTTGTTTACGTTTGGGCTGTGTTTTTGCTGAGATGATCTTGAATCGGCATGGCGGCTTTCCTCTTCCTCTCTCTCTCTCTCCCCCGCTTTCATTCCCTTGGAGAGAGAGAGAGAGAGAGAGAGAGAGAGAGACAGACAGAGACAGAGACAGAGAGACAGACACAGAGATTTCCTTAATTTCTTCCTCACATGTCGCATTCTCATCATCGCTCCTACACTCAACCTTTCTCATACAAAATAATTGAACTATCCACTAAATCGTCTGAGATTATCAATCAACACCAAAATATGAAGTAGAACAACCTTTTTTACCCGACCAGATAGGGGAAAAAATAAAAATCTTTATTATTATTTTAGCTTAGAGAACATATGTTTGTAAATATTTTTTTTTAAAAAGGACTGTTCGTCAAAATTTTCCTTATGTCTTCTGAAGCAATGGCAGAGGTTTGGAAAAATTCAAACTCAAGGGGCATGTGAGAAGACAACAAATCTTTGACTATTTTCAATATAGGGTTTAAGTCAAAAGTAATTTTTTTTTTTTTTTTTTTTTTAGGCTGTAAATTTCAAAGAGCAAAGGAAATATTATTTTGAATGATTTGAAAGAAAAGTACAGATAACCACCACTCTCAAATTATGCAAATATTGCTTCTTTTTTAAGCCATCCTCTGCCTCTGTGCCACCGCCATTATCATCTCTTTATCCCCTTCACCACCTTGGTCCACAAGTCACAAAAAAAACACCAAACACATCCATCATAACCCTAATTAAACTCGACCTCATCCGCTCCACTTTACCTCAAGCCAACATGTTTCGTAAAAGGGTCTAAATTACCGTTCGTCATTTCGTGCTCCTTAGCAGGAATTAATCTCTTTGTTCTTACAACATCTGGTTGTTGGTTCGTTTCGAGGTCTCGAGCCATTTTTGATAACTTCGAGGGAAGTGTGTGTGTGTGTGTTGTCCATGCGTTTCATGGTTAAAATTTCAGTGTTTGTGTATGTTTGTCACTCTACATTACCCAACACCCTTGCCTCCTCTGACTTTCCCTGCTGCCCACAAGGCATTGCCAAACACTTGCCATAAGGAAATCCAGCAAAATGAAAGAAGAGACGAAATCAAGGGAGGAATCAAAAGAAAAGGCATCAACTAGACAGATAGGAACAAACTCAGAGTTCATCTCCCTATGAAAAAATGACAGTTTCTGAATGAATTTGCATTGGTGCAGAGCAGCAGCAGCAGCCGCCAAAGGCTTCCTTACCAGAACTTGCATTCATAATAGTTATGTAAACTTAGCAGTACAAACGAAAGTTGCCAAAAAAATGTCTTGGACGGCTCTAAAAGCACACACAAAAACCCAAGAACTCTCTCTCTCTTTCTCTACAAACATTACCACAGATTGCATCCTCACAATGGTTGTTTTTTTTCTTTTTTTACTGCTCTTAAGACTATTACTATCTCCTAACTGCAAAACTTACATGCATGATATACTCATCGTATCGTCAAACCATGAAAACTCCTTGTCGAATTCCATATCCATCGGAGGAAGATCGAGCGCCCCGACACTGTTTTCGATGCTGTGTAGAGTATAATTGTCTCTGAAGTTCGTGTCATGAAAGAACTGATCAAAATCATTGAAGATCAATGAATTGTCTTCAAGAACTTGAAAGTCCAATTCCTGAGTATCTAACCGCGGTAGTGTTATCGAGGTCGGGGTCGGGGTCGGGGTCGCTTCCACGATGTCTAAAATGGACTGCTCATCTTCATAGATCGATTTCAGGATGTCTTCATCATCTACCACAGGCATACATCCTTCAGTGATTGAATGTTCCATAGTTTGATCCACATTGCTGCATAAACTTTCACAACAAACATCAAGTACAGATGATGGTGAAGGATGAGAAAACAAAGCTATAATGTTTTCAGATTCATCTGTGTAATCAGCAACTGATCCATCCCGTTGCTCTCGGCCGAGCTCACCACTGCCCTTCGCCATCGATTGTATACTTTCGAACTCGTGCTTCTTTCTCTGATAAGCAACAGCAGCTTCCTCAGCGGTGTTATAAGTACCAAGCCACAATCTTCGGCCACGAAACGGATCTCGAATCTCTGCTGCATATTTCCCCCATTTCCTTCGTCGAACGCCTTTATACATCGAAGACGATCTTTGTGTTCTGCTACTGCTTGGTTTGACTTCAGCCTTGGTTCTAATTTTGCCTCCATGTGAGCTCTCCTTGGATATCTTATGGCGGATATCTGGCACTGATATCTCCCAGACAATGTTTTTAGCATCTTGATTGACATGTTCATCTTCTTCACTTGAGTAGTCGGTGGCATCAGGATCGTGAAACAGTACACGAACTTTCCTCATAGAAATGGACTTTCCTTCTCTTAGTTGCTTCATTTTCTTCTCCTCCTTACCATACATATCTTGATTTGGAAACTGCCTTCGGAACCTCAGAATATAATGAATGAATAAACGAAGGCAGGAGAACAGAGGAAGTTTTAGCGATCTTCAATGTCAACGAAAACCCAAAACCCTGAAACAAAAATGAACCAAAATTGAGAAGAGATTATGGTATCTTGTAGAAGCTTGAAACCTCTTCACTCCAGAACAAGACCTGCAGGAGAAAAGGGGTTTTGAATAAAACAGCCATAAACCCATACATCGCTTGAAAAGAATGGAATCTCAGGTATTAAACCCCTGAAATAAACGACTAATAAGAAAAACCCACATACCGATTTGATGTTAATTGCAGAAAAAAGGGTTGAAAAGGTTGTTGTTGACGAGAACGAAATTGCATGTGAAGGGTGAAGAACGGAGACAAAAAACAAAGGCAGAGCTGCTTCAAAGCTCCAGAGGACAGATGAAACTCAGAAGACATAAATCTCTCCACAAAACCCCCCTGGTGAAGTATCTTATCGACGAGGTTGTGATTGAAAGAGAGGAAAACAATGAACACACAAGCTACAAAAGAAGAAACGCGCGAAATGGGTCAGAGAAGCATGGAGTGGAAAATCACAGAAACGTCAAAACCCCCACATAAAACAAAAGAAAATCATAAGCAATGGCTTAGAAAACGTCGAAAACAGAGTGGATAGAGTTCCCAAGAGCATGAACAACCGAGAAATGAAGCAATAGCGATTAGAAGGAGGGTTTAGAGGACTCACTGAAGTCGTCTGAGAGAATTTGGTTGGAGGCGGAGGGGAGTCTGTGATTGAATTTGGTTTGAAGGGGGTGTGTGATTCTGTTGTGGATTCGTAGCCCTCCAACACAACAGACGACACAGACACAGAGCCTATCCCTCTCCACGCTCTCTCCCTCTCTCTCTCTCTCGGCTTTTTTTCTTCTGAATGGAAGTGTGAAATGAGGCGTTTTAAGGTGAGCTAAAAAGCCTCTCGCGTGCTGCTGCTTGGGCCATCTGTCCACCCAAATCCAATCTTCACCTCCGGCTCCAGTCAAGCTTTTCTTTTCTCCCTTAATTCTCACAATATGGATGCTATTTTAGTCCTTTCTAGGATGTTTTGTTTTGAAGATCTTGGGCTTGGATTTAATGAATCACCAACAAATCTCACTCGCCCACCATAGAATTTAAAATGCTACTTTTTATGTTTTTTAATATTCCTTTTGTTTATTGTTCTTTGGTTTTGGTTGATTGAATAAACAATTTCCTAGTGTTAGAGATCTTGCCATGGAAGGGCATGCATGGTTTCCATCCATGTTTGGTTACTATAGTTTCAGAATAACGTGCTCCTCTAGACTACACACTTAGATACTTGAATTCAATGAAAATAACGTGTTTTTTTTCCTAATTGCTTAACTTCTAGTAAGTTGGTTCAACCTACTAAACTAAACCGTTCCAGTGACGATCACATGGCAAACTGTTTGAACAATTGAAGTGTTCGGTGAGGTTGAGGCGGTTGGAACACTTGTATTTATAACGTAATAACTGAAAATGAAATGAAACCGTAAAAAACGTAAGGAAATGCATGTAAATAAAAGTAGAATACCCACAAAATTTACACCCATATTGCCTACATTGCACCACCTTAAAACAATTTATTACCATTAATTATGCCAACTAATTCGTGTAATTTTAGTTTATTATTATTTTCATTTTTCAATAAATTTAAATTTGAAATATTTAGACACGTGCATGCACCTCGAAAATTCAATTAAAATAGTAATAAAAATTTAATTTTTACAAAAGACAAACCAATATCACCAAAATATAATAATATTACAAGTTTAGACGGTTTAAAATACACGAAATACAGAAACTAAAAGACAAATATGAAAGAAAGTCTAGACTTGAATGTAAGTATGTGTGTGTATATATATATATAGTTAGTGATCCCCTGCAAACAACATTCCACGTGCACCTTTGTCTCAACTGCTACATCAAGCTCCAGCTCAAACCTAATATTTTAAAACCAAATGATGATATATATATATATATAAATAAAAATAAAAATTGCATCATTTTATTTTGACTACTATAGTATTTTAAAACCAAATTTGGGCTTTTCCACTTTTTTTTTTTTTTTTTTCTCCACTCGTGGTAGGTTCAAACGATATTTCTCTATTTGTCTTAATTTTCCCCCACAATGACTTCTTTTTATTTATTACCTTTCACTTTTCTAAAGCTAATAATGTCATCTAATATATATTTGTGTATTAGAAAATTATAATTTATTTATGGTTTTAAAAAACAAAATCCAAAACTGCTTAATGGGTTGTGGCCCAACTCCAGTTGAATGTCGGCCCAATTCATGTCCGGTCCTATTCATCCCCAAGTTGCTCAAAACGTCTAACGGAGTGACGTGGGCATAATGAAAATGAATGACGTCACGTAGATTCCAATTGTTCCATCCGACGGTGGAAAACGAAAGGGCCGCAACTATAACTACTGATCAAAGAAGCTTGATCATTTGGCAAGAAATAAAAAAAATGGTCTGATCTTGTCGGAGAAGAAGCAATTAGGAATGGAGAGAGAAAAGAGGAAGAAAATATCGGAGGGGGAGAGCGGCGGAGTGGTCGTAGAGACGAAGAAGAAGACGAGAAAGGAGGAGAGAGAGACGGCGCCGGCGGAGGTGGAGGTGGAGGTGGAGGAGCCGACGACGGAGGCGGTGGAGGAGTTCTATGCCATTTTGAGGAGGATGGATGTGGCTTTACGGTACTTGAAAGAGGTACAGAAGAGGCCGACGGTTAGAATCAGACAGGTCGAGGAACATAAGGAACTCAATTTAAATGAAGTGCCTCCAGCAGATTCTACTGATTAGTTCCTGGTTTTTTTTTTTTTTTTTTTGCCAATATGAAGTTATTAAAGTTAATTTTAAATTTATTTCTGTTAAGCACTTCAACTCTAATGTAAAGTCAACCGAGAAAATATTTGATTATGTTATAGTTCTTGATTAAATAATCGTAGTCTGATATTCATACGATCTCACTATCATTTAAATACCGTAATAATTTTGGTTTATTTAAGTATCTCTCATTTAATTGTGTACATGCTCGCTAGCTTCCGTATTTAGTTTGTCCTCGAATCACATCCTACTAGAAGAGGTTCAATACTTATACTATTAATAAGACTCTATACTCTAGATTTGATATCATATGATCCAGACATTTCTCTAGAGATGTGTTAAAGAATAAAAAAAAAAGTGGGATTGAAAGTTGAATCGGTTAACCACTTTTACATTAAACACAAATTACCAACTAACTCTAAAATATAATAAAATATATATTTTATTATTCTTTTAAAAAAGAGTTATTTTAAAGTTTGTTTTTTATTAAAATACTCATAAATCAGAATATTTTCTAAAAAAAAAAAACTATGTTACAAACATAATATTTATTAATTAAGAAAACCTACGACGTCATTTTTAAAATTAACAAATTTATTTTTTAATATAGAATATATATATATATATAGTTAAAAATATATTTAAGTTAAAAAAGCTAAGATTTTTCTAATTTATAAATGTTTAATTTTTTTTAAAAAAAAAACAGAGGATAGATGTGGCATTTTATGAAGGTTGCGTGATCCACGAGGTAAGTGCGAGGGCTGTTTAATTATTTGAGAACGACGTCCATGGAAAACCTTGCCCTTTTTTTTTTTTTTTTTGTTTATTATCATTATCTTAATTAATTTATTTTGTTTTTATGCTCGTAATATAATTCCTCCAATAATTCGACCCCACGCTAATATTTTCCTTTCTATATAAAATAAACAAATATATCATTTACTTAAATTCCATAAATATGATACTTATCTAACCTACCATTCTACCTATATTACTTATCAACTACCCATCCAATTAATTATGCTCCATTTTGGAAATTGTAAGTTTGACCCAACTGTGTAACGGAGTTTGGGAGAGAGATTTGAAATTTGAATTTGACACATGATAGGTCCCAACATTCTTTTGCATCCTTCCACATGATCACATTATTTGTCTTTACTCACATGCATTTTAGGAAGCTTTTATGGTTGAGTCATCGAAAAGAAAGGTAGAGTTTGTTAGTAATAGCAGTGCCTTTTCTATTCTCGTAATCACTTTCATTCGAACATAGGATTGGTTTAGGACTAAACAGGTATTATGTTAAAAGTTTTTGAATTTTTTATTTTTTTTTTGTAGGTAATTGATTGAATGATATTTTGTTTATTCAGGGGGTTGAATGAAGGATGAAGAAATAATATGCATTGAAAGGGAGTTTGTGTTGTTGGGTGGTGGGTCAATTCATATTATTTAGTTTGCTCACAAATCTTCCAAATGCCTTTCAATACGCCACCAAAAATAAAACCAAAAACTCAGCTTCCACATCAACTTCACAGCCAAGGTGTCAACAAATTATTTATAATTATGCTCTCATTTCATAATTCTTTACTTTTATTTACCTTTTTCCCAAATAAATATATGAATTATTACTCAATTTTATTCAAATTTAACAAACATAAATAAGTTTTAAAAATGAAAATATGAGTGATATAAAAAAAAAAAATACAAATAGTCCTCAAAAAGGTCGTAAAAAAAAGAAAAAAAAAAACACGATATTTGAGATTTATTTATGTATTATTATTATTATTAGTCTCTTTTCCACTCGAGCATTCTTGACTATTCTCTAGGTGGAATTTTTCGTCTCCAGCTTCCTATAATTTTCGGCATAGAAAAATTAACTTTTTTTTTTTAAACGGTTTAAAATATTGTGAGGTCTCATCCAAAGTAAGCTAATTACATCTAATTCAAATTATCTAACTTCACTAAATACTATACGACTTAAATAGCGGTACTTAGGGGTAGTTTCGTAAACACAAATTATTTAACTCTAAATATTTAATAACACGTTTTAAATAATGAATTATTAGTGTCATACCCACACGTGATTAGAGTCTACGTTTAATTTATTATTATTATTATTATTATTTCTAAGAACTTATTAACTCCCAAAATATAGGTTAGTTGTGTAGCTTTGAATTATCATGGGTCATACATAATCATCTTATATTTTTAGATAAAATTATTCTTCTTTATCCATTACCATTAAAAATATTAAATTTCAACCATTTGATTATTTTACATTTAAAATTACAATATTTTAGTCTTTCTAATTAAAAAAGATCTAATAAAAAAAGAAAAAAAGAAAATTAGATCCAAGGTTGGTTCAACATTTTAAAATTTGAAGGAAAAAGTCAAAAATTTTCGAGTTGACTTGATAATAAATGTGAACCGTTGGATTGTAAATTTGAAAAAAAAGAAAACATTAAAATCGACCAGGGACCCACAAGCTATTACTTGAAAGTTGCAGACAAGATTGCCGTTTACGGCTGGGGAAGTGCGGCACGGCAGACAAACGGGAGATAACGATCGTTACGATTTTTTTATTTATTTTTCAGGCGGCGTAAATGGTTAGGTCGCCGTTTGCGTCGTCTGTAATTTATTATTTACTTTAATTCTCTTTAATATTTATTCAGATTTTTTCAACCTTTTCTTCATCCGTTGTTTTCACCCTTTATTATTATTATTATTATTATTATTTTATTATTAAATTTGGAAGTGTTAGGAAAGAAAATTCGTGAAGTTATTGCAGGAATATTTAAACTTAAAATAATTATTGAAACTCAAAGTACAAATAAAATAAAATAAAAAGAAGAGGACCGTAATGCAAAACACAGGTGATTCGAGGGGGCAATGCGTAGTCCGATTCAACGCCGACCCCAACGATGCAATTATTAAGAAATTATCCCAAAAAAAGAAAAAGAAAAAGAAAAAGAAAAAAACGTAAATGAACCGAAAAGGTCAAGAAGGCGAAATTCAATGCCCAGTCAGTGGGACCCGCAACGGACTTCAAATCTTACATTTAAATTTAGTTAAATGAATAAATGAATAAATAACCATTACCAAATATATATATATTTATTTAAAAAAGGAAATTGAAAAAGAGGAGCAGAATCATTGAAAACAAACACAGAGGATAAAATTGGAAGAAAGGAGAATGGATTTTCTAAACCCTCTCTTTATTCGCCACGTGTCCTCCTCTTTTATATCCCTGTTTCCCCTCTTTTTAAACGTCGCCCCCTCCCATTTCTAGTCTCTCACACCACTTCTGCAACCTTTCCTTCATTCTGTTCTCTCTAATGGCGGTTTAACCTTTAAAGCCCTAATTCTTCTTCTTCTTCTTTTTCTTTTATCTATTTCCTTCTTCTTCCATGGAAAATTGCACCGACAACAGAAAGCGAGATCGCGACAAGTTAGACGTCTCGCTTGCCGATTCGGCCGAGTCGAAGCTCAGACGACTCAACCCAACGGAATCGAGATTTGTAAAGCCATGCTCCAAGTCGGAGCAGGTAGGTTCCGATGGAGATGATTTGAGAATCGATTTGGCAGATTCGGATGAGATTCACGATAAGTTGCTGAACATCCTTGAAGATTCCGACGTTGTTGCGGAGCGAGATGAGTGTATTCAAGGTTTTGAACTCGATTCATTTATCCGAAGCTTCGAGGAGGAGATTCATGCCCTACCCCCAGCGGAAACGTCGTCGAATCAGAATGAGACTCCTCAGGCGGAACTCGGATATCTTTTCGAGGCGTCGGATGATGAACTCGGCCTGCCGCCGACTGTAGGTTCGAGTAATGAGGGGACGATCGAGGCGATTGATTTTACGCCGGCTTGTTCTTGGCCTGGTGTGTTCGAGATGGATGGGAATGTAGGGTTTGAAGATGAGATACCGTGTTATGACTCGTTTGAGATTGGAATCGGCATTGGTTCCGGCGCGGCGGAGGAGAACGGTTTGGGTGGGGAGTTTGTTGCATTGGGCGGTTTGTTTGATTACTCGGACGTGCCGTTTCGACCGGAGTCGTTGTCGGCTTTGTAGAGATAATTTCGAATGGGGCAGGTGCGCTTGGCTTCGACGTGTTGATAGGACACGACGTCGTTTCAAGTTTGTAGGTTGTAAATCTCAAAGAACAAACAGAAATCTTTCAATAGAAATGTAGAATTAAAAAAAAAATATATATATATTATATATATATATATATATATATTTTTTTTTTTTTTTCTCTCTTTTGTGGTCCCCATGATATTGTTATTTATTATCTGGAGGGGTAGAATTTTGGTGGAACAAATTAAGTTTTTTAAATAAAAAATATTTATACAATGTGCTAGCAATTTAATTTTCAAATTATAAAAATTATATTTATAACGCTATCATTTTGGCAGTACAAATTTTTTTAAAATAATTTTAAAATTTTAAAATTTATATTGAATTTTTTACTAAAATTTAAATATTTAGACCAGATCACATTGATATAAAAAAAATATTTATAAGCTTAAGTTCGAAATTTATGGCAAACAACATTATTTTGGTGCAGTTTTAGCAATAAATATGAGCATGCTTGTGGTGAAGTGTTTTAGTCCGAGAAAAAAACTGGCTTAGTGATCGATGTGATCGTAATACCTGCACTGGGGTTGTGAGAGACGATGGCATTTCCTTACGTCTTGGTTCCCTCCATTCATATTGATCAATTATCCTGTTGACTTCAACTCCTATCGATCAAAGCATAATACTTGAGTTAAAACCCTAATTAATTCTTTAAATGTCAATCCATGGATGTGACAAACATATCAATAATATTCAAAATAAAACTTAACATAGTCATTTTTTTCTTTTTCTTCTAATTAATTTACAAGTGAAACAACATTAAATATATATATATTTTTTTGGTTAAATTATAAATTAAGTCTTTAAATTATAGATTAAAGAATTAATTGCTTTTGAGATATTAGATTGGTTGATCCAAATCTTACTCCTATTGCAGTGATTTCCATATCATTTGGCATCAGACCTCTACCTATGAGATATTAGATCAACGAGTTGATCCAAATCTTACTCCTATGCAGTGATTTCCATATCATTTGGCATCAGACCTTTACCTATGACTAATTTCCTCAACGAAATATAAGGAGGGTAAGAACTAAATTGATAACGAAATCTGATTGGTTACCAATTTTTGACATATTTTTTATAGCTTGAATGCTTAAAATTCACTATACATTAATTTCGAAGACAGTTTACGTCCCTTCAAAAAATTATTAGGAATAGAGGGAAGTATATTAGTGATACAAAATTCTATCTCGTTCGTACTAAAATGAAAAGGGTACATGAATGATTACAAGATGAGCTAGAAGTACATTAATTTCGAAGACAGTTTACGTCCCTTCAAAAAATTATTAGGAATAGAGCGAAGTATATTAGTGATACAAAATTCTATCGGTTCATACTAAAATGAAAAGGGCACATGAATGATTACAAAATGAGCTCAAAAAATTATTAGGAATAGAGCCAAGTATATTTGTGATACAAAATTCTATCGGTTCATACTAAAATGAAAAGGGTACATGAATGATTACAAAATGAGCTAGAAGTACATTAATTTCGAAGACAGTTTACGTCCCTTCAAAAAATTATTAGGAATAGAGAAAAGTATATTAGTGATACAAAATTCATACTAAAATGAAAAGGGTACATGAATGATTACAAGATGAGCTAGAAGTCCTCCATTTTCTCTCTAGGATCAACCACATAAAGATTATAATCGTCCATCGGTGTCAAATGACTCAAATCTTTGAGTATTTCGTGGTTTGTGGGATCGAACCAGAGATCGAGACTCTAGATAGGAACAAGGGATTCCATCTCTCTCTTTTGGATTAGTGTTCTCCTTCGAACCATTCCCTTTATCCTCCTCCACCACCTTAGCTCCCAACGACGAGTTCCAATATGTCAAACTTTTCGTTATTTTATTTTAAGGTTTTGAATGTGAACGCTTAAGTCCATGACATCATTTTATGAATGATTTTAAATGCATGTTTTCGCATAGAAAGGTCACATCATGCATGTGATCTATGTGAATAGAAAATTAGTTTGTCTGCTTGTTCAAAATTTCTTACATATCATATTGGAAATTAGCATAAGTTTGTTAGCGCGACTGGAAAGGTGCAATTGAAGGAATACAATATCCATAAATATTCTTAACATTATTTGATTCAAACAAGTCAACTTTTCTATATATATACCCGAGAAACAAGCTCCTATATAATACACACCTTATTAGTTATGGTACGTACAATTCCATTGTATATATTTAGATAAATAAAATTAGAAAATTAAGATGGTACAACTTGTGGATCTAACCGTATACTAATCCTATTGTGCTATATAAATCAGACAAAACCAAACCAAATCAGGCAAAACCAAATTGGGTTGTAAAAAGAAAAGCGAGCAAGCAAAATGAAGTCTCAAACCATCTTTTGTTTCATCATTTTGCTTGCTTTTGAATCAAACATGATTATTAACCCAGGTTTTGCCCAATCTGATTCCAAACGCATGGACCCATTTTCTTCGTGGGAAGTGGATATTTTGAATGACATGAAGGACTCCACTCTGGTGGCTCATTGCAAGTCGAAAGACGACGATTTAGGCGAGCATGTGATCAATCCTGGAGGCAAATATTTTTGGACGTTCCATGAAAACGTGGGGCAAACGACACTATTTTGGTGCAATTTTAGCAGCAAACGCGGGAATGCTTCTGGTCAAGTGTTTTGGCCAGAGAGAAGCCGCTGGCTTAGTGATCGATGTTATCATAATACCTGCATTTGGGCTGCAAAAGACGATGGCATTTCTCTACGTAGTGGTGCTTTCGATTTATATGAATTAATGTACCCTTGGAAGTGATGGATGCGTTTGGTTTATCAATAAAAAGTATTAATTGCTCAACCTTTTTTTACTCTATTTTAATTCAATGATGGAGGGATGTATGGGTATTAGAGGCAAAGAGGAAGATAAATTAGGTTAAATTAATTTCGGTTCCTCCCGCCAATCCTCAATCAATCCAATCTCTCTATCAAACCAAAATCACAGCCTCTTGTCTTGCCATTGTTGTATCTTCTTCACTTCACTCCTTTTCAAATCATTCAAGAAACGCCCCACCAGATATGAATATTGCTGCTTCTCTATCTTCACTCGCCGCCCTGCGCCTTCCTATTTGTCTCCATTGTTTCCCAACATATTGCTGCTTCTCTATCTTCACTCGCCGCCCTGCGCCTTCCTATTTGTCTCCATTGTTTCCCAACCTTCAGAACACCCATTTCCTTCCCTTCTCTATCCTTAAATCCCCCAAGTTTGCATATCTTTTCGTCGATGACTTCTTCCATTACTGCGTCGATGTCCACTTCCTCACCTCTGGCCCCCGATCAGCTTGCTGTGGAGGAGAAGAAGCCCGCGCCGCCGCCGAAGCCATGGCTGATCGTTGGCCTTGGGAACCCCGGGAAGAAGTATGAACGCACTCGCCATAATGTCCGTATGGCCCTATCTTTTCGTTTACGAATTGAACTTGCTCTTTTTTGTACCATTTATTCTTTGCGGAAGGATTATTCATTTATAGTATTTATGTAGGAAATTAAATTCTGTTTCATTGAGAACGATGTTGATCGAGACGATTATGCCTTATTTTCTGTTGGATTAACTGGGTATGCCGTTTTTCGCGTGGGAATCCCCTTAGGATAGGTTTTTCGAGCATGAAGTTTGGTTATCTCGAGGAAATTATGATTTATGTCGATTTACAAAGCTGGAGAAGCATGTCTTATCTAGTGCTGTTTTTGTTATTAGCCATAATTGAGTGTTGTCTGGATGTCCTTTATTAAGACGAATTGAAGCATGGCAGTCCCTGATGCTATGATTAATATGATTAATTTTCCAGGTAGGTTTTGAGATGCTGGATGCTGTTGCCGAGGTTGAAGGGATATCCATGAGTAGTGCTTCCTTCAAAGCTCTGATCGGGAAAGGTGTGCAGATTCTAACGATCCCGTTGTTCTTACCTACTGCTTTTTGACAATTCTCGACCGTTGATGAAATTAAAATATCTGGTTAGAACTTAGAAGTACATCTAGCTGCTAGTTTGCTTGCCTTGAACGGGCTTGCTGGTACATTACTGTCTCCTTTCTTTCCAAAGATGTGTAAAATCTTCTTCCTTATCTCTGTGATGAGATGGTTTCGCCATGAACTACAACTTGGTAAAATAACAATTAGATTATCTGTTTTCAGACTCATATTGACTTTCAAATTCTATTTGTGCATTCTCAAACCATAATAAGCAAATTTTGCTGGTTTTAGTTTGTTTGACAAGATACTTTTTTTCTTTAGTTCAACAATTGGAGGATGGAGGAATTGACCATAGACCTCAGGATAGTAATTATTGTTTTATCTCTTAGTTTGCATGCACCTCAACTATTTTTATGTATCAACCGTGTAAGCCTACTATTTTTTATGTTTGTGATGGAGCCCAAATATATTGAAATGTAAAAGGTAATGGACTTACTATATACTTCTCAAGTATTTGAGGTACTTCCACCACTCTTGTGATACCACTCAAGCTTGAAGCCACTAAACAATTGCATGCCTTCATATCTCCCCTCTAACTCTATTTATAACCATGTCCACGGACAACTTCTTACCTAATTACTAATACTCCCTTATATTTCCATTTCTGTCCTAATTGCATTCATATTAATTTGGATGCCAAGGAAACTCCTAGGATATTATTGAACTCATTCTCTCTTGGTTAGTACGTGGTTTTTATTTATTTTTGAATTCTTTTATGAAGATAAAATATCAAGAAAAACCAATTTTTCTTTCCCCCAAAAAGGAGTTATTGTCTAGGAAAAATTATTGAGGATATGATTATTTCCAGCTGGAGATTGCTACAATAGTGAAGATATTCTATCAATGTTTACTTCGTATTTCAGGTTTCATCGGGGATGTTCCTGTAATGCTTGCCAAGCCACAAACTTTCATGAATGCAAGTGGTGAGTCTGTAAGTAAGCTATCTCAAGGACCTCCATCCATTTTAATTATTAGGTTTACCCTTTGGTCTCAATGATTGATTTGTTATGCATTTAACCTTTGATTGCAGGTTGGTGCTATTGTTTCCTACTATAAAATTCCATTGAAGCAAGTCCTTGTGGTAAATATTTTATTCCCCATGTAAGACTATCAGTTTTCTTGACAAGAGAGGAGGCTGGGCTATGGGGTGGGTATCTATGTTATTCACTTTCTTTTTCCCCTACATATAAGCCTTGAATTGGGGTCCTTCAACAGATATTCGATGACTTAGATTTGCCTTTTGCCAAATTGCGGATGCTGCCAAAGGGTGGCCATGGAGGACATAATGGGTAATTGTCTTTTATGGATTATAATTCAGCTTAACGCTTCATTTTGGGTGTCTCAGTCTTCTGCTGAGTTTTGTGACATTCATTTTCTAATATCCTTAATACTAGGAGGTATTAGTGGTAGGTTTTCATATGCTTTCTTCAGGGTCATGCTGCAGAATATCCCCTGCCTTTTTATTTTTATTAACAGAAGTTGTATAGAGTGAGCTTCTTACCCCAAAAAAAAAACAACAACAACAAACACAAAAGTGTGATGGAGTGAGGAACTTTTTATTTAATACATGATGAAAGGTTTCTGTGGGCGTTTTGGCCAATCTATTTCTAGCCTTTGTATCCGAACAATGCCATTTTTTATTTACCTATTTTCTTTATTCTGTTAGGCAATCCTGCATGTGTTGTCCATCAGAAGAAAGAGAAGCATATTCCATTTTAAAGGATTTCTGGTTGAAAGATTGTGATTTTGCAAAATTTTATCCCTCAAGGAAAAGTATACTTTCTCTAAGTACGGTCTTTTACTTGAAAAGTTTTGACCGCAAAAGTTTTCCTCCCTATAGAAAAGCATGCTTTCTTCACATATGAATATAGATTTTTACTCGAGTTTTGTAGCTTTTTAAGAGGAAAAATTTTGAGTTGACCAAGTAATAGTAAATGTAAAAGTTCATTAGATCAAATAACGTAAGCTCAGTACAAGCATCTGGGAATACGAGTTTTTATTGAATGATTAAGATGTAATAGAATAAACATTAAGAGGAGCAAAAGACATAGAAGTGTAACTTTTAATTTGTTTATTTGGTATGTGTGGCAGGATGAGGAGTATTATTGATCACTTGAAAGGCAGTCGTGATTTCCCTCGGTTAAGAATAGGTACGTCTCTTGAGGCTCTGTTAACACCTCCACACTGCTTTTATATAATATCAGCTGTTAAATGAATGAAAACATTCCAGGCATTGGGCGCCCTCCCGGGAAAATGGATGCTGCGAACTTTGTTATGCGCCCCTTCAACAAACAAGAAAGAGAAGAGGTGTGTAAAATGGCATCCCATTTCCACAAAATAAAGTTTGTTGATAATGGAACTCAGTTTTAACCATCCAAGTGGAATCTCTTTTCAGTTGGATTTTACAATGCAAGTCGGAGTAGACGCTATACGGATACTTTTGCTGGAGGGGTTTAACAAAAGTGCAACATTTGTCAACACCAACAAACCTCTGGAACAAATAGGCTGAAAACATTCAGCGTTTAACTTTAAACCTTTTTATGGACTCTAATAGGGCTCCAGCCATTTTGTTTACTGTATCAAACTGCTTTAGAAACTGCTTTATACACAGGCGGCATTCGCTACCGGTTTCAACTCTACGGTAATTATTGAACCCCATCAATGTAAGCACATTGTCTTTCTTATTGAAGCATCTCTCTCTGTCTCTTGGAATTGAAATATGTTAAGGCATAAAGTAGTGATCTTTGAAGAGATCAATGAAGCCAATAACCTCCCCCACCATGCAGCAAAGAAACCAAGGACAGGAATTGATAGAAGGGAGCAAGCTGCCTCTACGGCTCTACCTAACTTTGAATGCTTTAATTATCTCATCTAGACATCACCGAGGGAGGCTATTCTTTGCCTGTCTTGTCATCTTCTTCTCCTCTACGCATTTTCTCTGTAGGGAGGCTATTCGGCTCTACCTATTCTTCATGTTTGTCTTGCCTGTGTTTTCAGGTTTCTGGTGAATGCCTTCTCTACGGAATTGCCTCGTACGTGGATGATTTCATGCAGGTGGACCCCACATAATTTTGAATGTACGTGATATGCTTCAAAAACTAATTATTTCATGGTATTTGTGTTTATTTATTTATTTTTAAATTGATTCCTACTATTTTAGAAGTTTTTATTTAGTATTTATGGTTAAATGTCTGGTTAGACCATGTTGGCTTGAAGATTTAAAATGTTGATGAAAATATTGATATTATGATGATGTTGATGGATATTTCAGTATTTTACTTTAGTATTACATTAATTCTTACATTTAAAGAAGTGTTACATGCATATTAGAGTTATGTATTAATATTTTTTTTTTATGAAAGACGTTTAGAGGTAGAAATTGTATTTTTTTTTACGCATTTTCTCAATTTTTAGCATTATGGAACCGTCACCTGAACCCACCACCTCCATTGTTGTCCTTTGTATATATATTCCTATGCACAATGACATTTCCCATGTGCTCTCTTTAATCAAATCAATCTACTCCAAGAATTCCTTCTTTTAGTTGTAAATTTGAAGACTTTTTTACATTTTAATTAATTTTATAAGATTCCTAATTTATCATAAAGCATCATCTTTATTCACATTCGAATTCATCCCAACTTTTTCCCACCGGTGATCCACTACTTCAATTATTGGTCTATGGAGCTTGAATTAAAATATTATAATGTTTTAATCCTAAGCTCGAAAGCCCTTTTCTGATTTTCCATCAAAATAAAAGTTGAAAAGGTTTTTGGGTTTTCTCCATTAATGTGAATTTACATTTTTAACCTTTGATTGAAGAAAATGAAAGTCATACCAATAGAGTCCGCCATTATTGGCAGCAGAAAAGGTTTGTTGGTTGGGGGGAGGACTCACCGACAATCGCGCCCCGTGGCCCCCACATCCGTTTGAAATGGAGGGCTATCGTGGTCCTTGTTGCAGCGTATCATTTCTTGAGGCGTCCCTCAATTCTAGCATTTAATTATTCGTTTATTATGCTGTGTCTTCCCCTCCCTATTCAGCGTATCAGTTTTTTTTTTTTTTGTTTTCTTTTCTTTACCTGAAATTCAAAATTTTAATTTATATGAATCGACCAAAAGTTTAAATTAAAAGAAGAAAAATGTATAAGAATGTCCAAAACTTGTCAAAATTAAAATACAATAATATTGTTTTTTTTTTTTTTTTTTTTTTACTATAATTGCCACTCAACACTCAACAGAATCTCGGGTGAAAATGAAAATCAAAAAGAAAAAGAAAATGGCAATTAAAAAACCCTAATTTATAATTTATAATTTCCCTTCTAACATTTATTGGGTGAAAATGCTACCACCGAATTAGCCAAGTCGAAGTTGACACGTGTCCCTTGCTGCTGAACGTTCCCTATGATGGACAGCGACGACGTCGTTGGGGCGAACGCAAAACAGAAAGTTCCGGCTGAATCCACCGGAATGAGGTAGTTCTTCGGCGCCAGCTGCAGCGACTTTCCGCCCGAGAAATGAAAAGATACTGTCGGAATCGTCACTCTCGATTGCGACGACAGATCGTAACATGTGTCGAATAATGCGAAGCTGTTCGCCTTCTTCAAGTACGGTGTGAGCCTCACGAAGGCGTCGCGAAGGGAGTTGTAGGCCTGAGTCTGCAGTCTAGTTATGGCGGTTCCTGAATCTACGATGATGCCGCCGTGGCCGGAATCGTCCAATTGAAACAGAGAAGGCGGAATAGAGAGTGGATGGCCGCCGACGCTCAAGCCGGTGAGTGCAACGTAGTAGAATGTATTGACTCTTCCGCTTCTGAGTAATTGAGCATTCACCGAGTCATTCGGTGCAGCGGAATTGAACTCGAGAGTTGATGCTGAACCAGAGTCGCGGTCGACAAGACAGTACGAAAACGACGAAGCTTTCATCTGAGAAGTTAGGGAAAGTGATCCGCCGCCGAGACCAAGCAATCCGGCGGATCCGATGAACAGTCCTTCGTTGTCGTGGCCACAGCCGAGAGCGACGTTGTTAATCGCTCCGGAGTTACCAAACGACAGCGTTTCAGTGACGAACTGGCCGACGGTGAAGGAGCCATCGCCGTACGAGACCTGGTAAAGACACTTCGCAGAACGACAACCAGACATTTCAAGAGCTTGACAGTGCGGAGATTCGCAGGGAAGGGAAGTAAAAGAAGACGAAGTGGTAGGGTCAAAAATGGGGTCGGTTTGCTGGTAACAATCCGTACAAGGCTGACATTGAAGCCAATTGATATCACTGCCGGTATCCAGAACCATATAGAATGGCTTGGCCGGTTGACCAACGCCAACGCGGGAGAAGTACTCGCCACTCCCCTGACTGGAGCCAGAGACAATGGGAGTGCTCAGATCCTCCGGCAGAATGTCCGCGTTCAACGGCTGAAGATCCGACCTAGTCAAGTCGCTTAAGCCAAATTCAAGCCTATCATTAAGCGATTTAACTCTAGACGAGTCACGGTCGAGCCGGGAGAGGACCAAGCTCCTGTAGTCCGTATGTCCGGCATTGCGAAGAGCATCACGAGGGTGCAGCTGCAGAGAGAAGGAGGAGGAAGAAGAAGAGTTCGCCGGAAGAAGCAGTTCCTGCTGGTGGAAAGAGGTCAAAATCTCAGGGTCGAATTTAAGGACCTGGTGGGCTTGTTTCAGAGAAGTAGAAACATCGAGTGAAGCGGAGGAGGAGAGAGTGAAGGGGAAGAGAGAGAGGAAGAGGAAGAGGAAGAGGAAGATGGCGAAAGGACAGAAAGGTAGCTGATTTGGCTTTGCAGACGCCATTGTTAAGGCGGGGTAAATTGCAGTGAAAGATAGAGTTGGAGGGTTTGGGTTTAAAAAGGAAGAGAGGATTTTAATTGGGAAGATGGTTGAGTTTGGTTTGGGGTTGGTGGCAAACCCTCTCTAGTCTCTGCTACTCCCTAGTAAAGTAACCATTATGCCTTCTTTCTCTTTCTTCTCTATTATATGGCGTAAAAGTCCATCATTTTTTTCAACATTGGAAATGTACATATGTCATGCTGTAATCAATAAAATAATAGCAGTATGGATAGGTTGGAGCAGTTCAAGTTGAGTAAATGAAGAGCAGATCAAGTTGAGTCCTCCTGCAACACACCCGAGTAGCATCTTCACCTTCATCTTCATCTTCATCTTCATCTTCATCTTCCTCTTCCTCTTCATCTTCCTCAATGTGTTGGTCTCAACAAAATGGTAAATAATGCTTCCCTTCACCCCTGTTTTTTCTCCCTTTGATCCGAATTCTCACCTTTCTAACCGCCCAAGTTGGTAAACATACATAAATTCTTCCTAAACATTCATTCATGAATGTTGACTTTCTTTACCCTCTATCCAGATAAATAGATAGATCGATAGATCCCAACCGTTCTAAGCCATTTCCATAACTAGGAGTGGAGCTGGAAACTTCGTGGGAAGGCAGAGTTTCAGATCTTGAAGGCTCAATCTATATGAAATATAATTCTTGAACTTATTGGTGTTATCCCAATCTAAGTGACAGAGAGAACAAAGAGGCCTGCAAAACCTCCCCCATTCTTAGAATTCTCCTTGACGTATGTATGGAATATGGGGTGGGTGAGGAGGAAAACAGCACATTGAAACCAGAGAATAGTGAAGCATGCATTCGTAAATTGAAGTTTATTTCTTTATGAAGTATCTCTATTTATGTACATAATTTTGTAGCAGTTGATGACATTCAATATTTTAATATGGGCAGAAGAGAGTACATTGCATAATCTATTCTCCCTATTCAACAACCATCGCTTGCAGGCTCAATTGAACTAAGAAGACCATTGCCTCTCAGCTGCATGCAGTGATCTTCTGCATCCACTTGGGCGCAGATAATTACCACTGCCATCCCATTGTAATGCGCCTCCTGCATTATGTTGACTGCATTGTCAACTGTCATTCCAGGGATCACCTTCATCAGAACTTGCACAACATATTCCCGCTTATTGTGATTGTCGTTGTGTAGCAACACTCGGTAAGGTGGAGCAATTTTCCTTGATTTCCTGAACATCAAAATTGTATTGGAAGCTCAGCTCAGAGTTCTGAAATACATACAGATCTTTACTTGCTCATACGCGACAGACATTCAGAGGAGGAGAATTGTTTTATACCTAACATTAAACTCAGATTCGCGGCCAGGCGTTGTCTTCTCTGTGGTTGGCTTTTCTAACAACCCTCCTCCTTTTCCGAGCTCAGCAACTGATAGCATCGTTAAGATGCTCCGGTTTCTACATTGTTTATGAAAATAGTATTTATCCCCTATCACACAAATACCAATTATAAATGGCTAATACTCAATAAACATCTCATGCAAGTTCAAGTTCTAAAATTTCTGGAATTCTGGAATTCATATACTTTGTCTATGGACTTTCAGCAATAATATAGATTGAAGTAAAAGAAAGAGAAACTAGAAGATTAAACTATTATTTTGGTAGCTAAACAATAACATTTCCTATTCATTTTGATCATTCGACTTCTAAAAGTTCTACTTAGTCATTGAGCTTTCTTGCTAATCTCATGTTGATCCCTATATTTAGAAATTTTAATTCACCATGACATAAGAGTTGTGTGAATGCGGTTGTCACATATACAAGATTTTACTGAACAATCAAGAGTAGCATTATACTATTGCACCATAGATGCACACAGACACGCAAACAAGAAGATTCAGTTCTTCTCTGCACGATTTGCTTCCATTTGTAGTTTTCCCCCCCATAATCAAACTCTTGGTTTTCCTCTTCGAGAAAAATAAAATTCAAACGAACTGGAAAATTATCATTCTTACATGCGCATGATAAGCGGATTCTGTCTCCACAAAGCCAGAAATGAGGTAAATATTGAAGAACGAACAAAAATTTCTTAAAAAACATTTCATCTAGATTTGGATTAACGACACAGACAACTTAAGAGGAGAAAATTCCTAGGAGTGTGAATACCTGGCCTGGTGGAATTGAAGAAATGGTAGGGTGAAAGAGGCAGTCGACCGCAAATCGCAGCTTCCATGGCCACTCTCCCTCTCTCAATCTCTGTCGCTCTGCTTGAAGAACTGTTGCAGGATGAAGAGTGATTTGGAGGCGCAGATTTACAGAAAAATGTAAACGAGCTTCGACTGAGTGGTTTAGTTACTGACGCGTGGGTTTCCTCTTCGCTAAACGAGCCCACCCTCCCGCGATCTTTTCAAGGGGATAATGAACCTGGCGTCTCAGCCATTCATCCTTTTACGACGCCGTTTCACCTTTTGTTTTCCATTTACTTTTAGACCCCTCTGTTTTAAAAAATACTCGTACTATATTTTCTTTTCGTAAAATTGGACTAAAATCATATTTGATTTTGATGCGTTCTTCTAATGGTAGATCCATCCATGCATTCTTCTAATTCTGGATCCATAGGTGAGAGGTTTGGATTCCAATTCTGCAATGGCGGATGAATGAAAGAAAATGCATAGGAATGGTAGTGATTATAGGCCACCCTTACGCGAAGTTCTCTCCCTCTCCTTCTCCTTCGTCTTCTTCTAATTTCTCTCCCTCTCTGCAAATCCGAATCAGGGCTGAACAAATTTCCCTCCTCCTCCAATCAAATCACATTTCGCAGCTACACAATCTTCAACGACATTAACAATGTGTCGTTTAAGCAACATACTTATAAGTCTCCTAAATAGTTGCACGCTGATCATCGGCCTCATCGCCGTTCTCGGCGCCGTCCACATCCGCGACCACGGCGGCACCGATTGCCAGAAGGTTCTTCAGGACCCTGCTCTTATCGTAGGAATCTTCTTCATCATCGTTTCGTTGTTCGGCCTGATTGGATCCTGCTGCCGCCTCAATTCGATCCTGTTTCTATACCTGATCGTGATGTTCTTGCTGATTTTAGGGCTAATGGCGTTTACGATCTTCACGTTGTTGGTCACCAATAGAGGAATCGGACGGGTCGTGTCTGGAACGGGGTTCAAGGAATACAAGCTTGGGGATTACTCGCATTGGCTTCAGAATCACGTCGTCAATGATGAGAATTGGATTCAAATTCGGAGCTGTTTGGTTGATTCGCCTATTTGCCCAAGTCTTGCTGAGGATTATCATGAACAAGAGGCTGAGTTCATTAAGCAGAATCTCTCCCCCATACAGGTGCCTTTTTAATCTATAATCTTTCCAACTTTCACGAGGACAGGACAAGTTTTTTCATCGTTTTTTAAAATCCGAGCCTTCGCTTCGCCTCTTGTTCTTATTCCATCGAATTTGAAAATGATGCAATGAGCTTCCATAACCAATCTTCTCTAAACCAACTTGAATTATTTGCAGTCTGGGTGTTGCAAGCCACCGTCGTACTGCGGGTTCGAGTTCAAGAACGCGACGTTCTGGATAGCCCCAAAAACAGGGCCGGCAGTGCAGGACAGCGACTGCACCACCTGGAGCAACCAACAGAACATCCTATGCTACGACTGCAAGTCGTGCAAGGGTGGAATTCTGGCTAACATCCGCAAGGAATGGAGGAATTTCGCCCTTTTCAACTCCTGTGCCATCACAGTCATCACTATCATCTATTGCATTGGCTGCTGCGCCGTTAGAAGCAACAGCTCCAGCTACAAGTATTATTAAATGGTTCTTCTTAAATGCTTTGCTTCCATGCTTCCTTCATTACTGTTCCCTCTGTAGATTTATATGATAACATTGATGCAAGTCCTCAAATCATAGTTATGTATAGATGCATTTTTTCCCATAACGTTCGGGTCTGGCTGACTCGAGCGTAATGCATTCTTTCCATGCTTCCATGTGGTAATGTATGTTCTTTTAGTTCCTTCTACTTGCACCACATGTATGTGTGGCCTGTTGTTCAGGATTTTTTGATCGTTTGTAATGAAAAGCTACAAACAAAAGCGGTGCAGCTACCGAAGTCTTTCTTGTCTTCTCTTTTTGTCGAGAGTAAATAGGCCTGAATTCTTGAATTGTTTATGAGCCTGGCTAGTGGATTAATGGATATTAAGATGATGATACTATTTCTACCTTTTCACCATTATACAATACTGCAAGCAGTAAGTGGGGCCAAATATGAAGATAAAAGCAAGTCCAGGATTACTAATTTACAGATCCTATGGAGCGTGGGAAGGGAACCTGTTGACGGCCAGCAGGACTGGATGAATTTTTAATCGGCACCAGGAAGCAATTTTTTACTAGATGCCGATGTCAGTGAGGTGAAACGTTTGGTACCTGCTGGGATGACTCGGGATGGCGAAAGGATCTCTGCCAATGAAAACTTATATGTATCTGTTCCTAACTGGCTCTTTAACCAACCTTTGCTACCTAAAAACCCATCGGTTACAATCCAGGAGTTCTTGAAGCCAAGGGCAGTGAGTGCTTTTGCAACCGCTTTTGCTGAGTCTGAGTATCTAAGTTTCCAAGAAATTTAATGTGGGAATGATCAGTAAAGATAGGGGTGGATGATATATAGAAACGATTCACAAATAAAGAAGATCCTAGATAGGCAAGATGACTCACGATCCCAAGATCACTATATTGGAGCCTTTGTTGAGTTTCTTGAGATATGAAATTTTGATGGCTGAAAGTTCAGCTTCTAGTTTCTTTACATTTCGGACAATGCCCCGCAACTTGCTTGGTAATTCTTCCAAACTGAAACATTTTGGTGCAAATGCTCAAGAACTGCCCACATATTTGGTTGTAATTGATTGAGTGGTACAGAAACAAAAACTTACGGAATGGCAATTGACTGGTTCTTAACACTAGAAGGAAGGCGAGGAATGCCAGACTTGTCCTTCTCCTTCTCGGATCGTATGTCGATTAGAAAGTAATTACTCGACGAAATTAGATCAAGTGTTTGAGCAGGAGAGAGTTCACCTAGTCAATCAAAACACAGTGCAGCATTAGTCAGACTAAATCACTCTAAACGGGAAATATCAAATGCAAAGTCTAAAGCCACTGGCTTTTTCTTGTAATGCATTTTTTCATAAAAGAGATTAGATGCACCTTTGTAACCACGAAAGCTGAAAGAGATGGCAGACCATATTGGAGGAAAAAGCAGGTATGCCAAGGCTAAGACTCCGGCAACTTCTGCAACTAGGAGAGGGTCGGCTGCAGAGAACTTCTCGACAGTCGATGAGGCTAAAGGCGTGGCACCTTCAATGACCTTACCGGTTTGTTGAGCGGCACCTACAACTGTCTGCAACCAAGGAAAATGTTTGGTGGGCGAATCTGGGTTTGATCAAATAAAACAGTAACGATAGAAAGATTCTCCAATTGGCAGTCCAAGATGAGCTAGAAACAACAAAACCTCTAACTTCATCCTTTGAAAAGTCTACTGAAATTCAGGGGCTCTGAAATATTACATGATTTGAAGGGAAAAAGAATACTTTCTGGACCTTGATTCTGAGCCATAATCTTCTTGCAAATGTTAACATAAGATGAAACATGCTACTTCCTAATAAGTCATATGGAAAAATCAGCCAAAAGTAGAACTTGGCAGTTC